TGTAGTTCGCTATAACTACAACTACTGTTTTAAAAAAGTAGTCAAAAACTACTGGCTACTTGAAAATTGTAGTTCGCTACAGTAGCGAACTACAACTACTTCGCTACTACCCACCCTTGCACGCTCGTGAGTTGTGAAAGAGGCGCTGCTAACAGACAGCAGTCCAACGAAGACACCACAGTCAATATCTCTAGAGCTTCGTGAACCAAGTTCGTAAATAACTTTGATGTTCAACCGTAAATCGTGGCTTTTAAGTTCTTTTGAATGCAAAACTCAAAGAAACGCCTCTCCATAATACATCCGCCGTGTTTGTATCAATTTTAGCATAAATTAGCATATTTTTTTTCATTTTGAACCAATCAGATTTCTCGTCCTCTGAGAGAACGAGTAAATACGGCAAAGCAGGGGGTTTCGTGCAGGCTCTACTTTCTCTGAGCCGTTACGCACGCTAGCACTGGCGAGCATCACCCAAAATTGGTTCAACAAGACTGAAAACTCACGTGATGGAAGAATGGGTATCCACGCCCTATTTATTGACTTTTGCAAAGCATTTGATCTGGTGGACCACGGATTACTTTTAAGGAAGCTCGCCAAAATGAACGTGTCGAAAAGCTTCTGGCTATGGACACGGAGCTTTCTAGAAGGGAGGAGTCAGCAAGTAAAATTACAAGGTGCTCTGTCATCTATAAGGCCTTGCCCTTCCGGAGTCCCCCAGGGATGTTATATCACCAACATTGTTTAATGTTCATGTGGATGACCTCGAAGACTGCATTCTCAATTATCTGGACATCAATACGCACAAATACGCAGATGACTGCACTCAAGATGAAGTGATTCCATACGGTTCTACTAGCAACATGCAAGAGGTGCTCGATGCAATAAACGACTGGGCACATAGAAACAAGATGAAACTTAACGCGAAAAAGACGAAAGACATGTGGATCTGCTTTAAAGCTGCAATTCCGGAACCACCACATCTTAAAATTGGCGATGATACAATTGAAAGAGTAAAGTCATTCAAGTTGCTAGGTCTTTGGATTGACAATACCCTTAAATGGAACACCCACATTGACGAAATTGCAAGGAGGGCAAACAAACGCTTATTCTACCTACGGGAGTGTCGTCGAGCAGATCTACCAACTAATGTGGGTTTGACGTGCTATGAATCCAAATTAAGACCGGTTTTGGAATATGCGGCCCCAATTTGGGGTGGCCTGCCACAATACCTTACTGACGAACTGGAGAGTATCCAGACTAGAAGCCTGAAAATTATGGGTCTACCTTCTGATTCTCTTCAATCTCTAGAACAACGTCGGGATAAACTTTCCATTCGCGAGTACGAGAAAATCATTAATGACGAAACACACCCATGCAGGAAGTACATACCAGACATGGTGACGAACAAGTATGAAAATATGAAACTCAAAAAGTTCCAAAAATCTTTAAAATTTTAAATCAAGTCTGTTATATTAAACCAACTCTACTTTCCAAAATTTTTAAAATTCTCACCAACTTATATTGTGCAATAGAAGTCCGCAAAAAATCCTAACTGAACCGTTGCTACCCCCAACACAATGTTGATCACACTGTTAAACTGGCAGTAAACTAATGCACACATTAACATTACCTAGCTTTTCCCACGCAGGCTAAGGGGGGAGTGGCGAACATTTGGGATATCTATGATTGTACACCCCCCGCCATCGTCCAGAATTATGTCATCGCCGTGTACTGGTTATCCGCTCTTGCAGTTGCTTCAGGAAATCTACCAGGGACGCAGAAAATATATTTGTAGTGGGAAGTTTCTCCTCCCATATTTTTCCTGAAATAACTCTATTTCACAAAAAAAAAACGTGCTACTTAGTCTTGACGAAAGATAAAATTGTTCGCTTCATAGAATCATAGTTCAGTCCAACATAGGTAATATTAAGTAACCGCGTTTACACTATGACGCTACGGCTAACATTCCGTTAAAAATTTACTACGTTTCTAGTGTTAAGACTATATTGTGTTTACACTATAACGGAGCGGTTTGCCGTAGCGTACTAACTATGGAAATCAATTCTGTTAAAAATTCACTACGTTTCTTAGTATTGTGTTTACACTACAACGGAGTGGTTTGCCGTAGCGTATTAACTACGGACCACTACGTTTGGCACTCCGGATGCAAATCACTACGCTACGGTAAATTTGCCGTAGCGTCATAGTGTAAATGCGGCCTAAAAGAAAAACATTCATTACTTTTCTTGTTGACTTCTGACTGAATAATTGATTACCAGTGCTATCAAAACAATTATTGCCGGATGGAAGCTCAAGTTTGTGATATATCTAACTGAATTCTCAAGTACCAGTAATGAGTATTTTCAGCTGAAAGTATGACTGTTCAGTACTTATCTGCCAGAAAATCTAACTGAATTCTCAAGTACCAGTAATGAGTATTTTCAGCTGAAAGTATAACTGTTCGATACTTATCTGCCAGAAAATCTAACTGAATTCTCAAGTACCAGTAATGAGTATTTTCAGCTGAAAGTATATAATATTGTTCAGTACTTATCTGCAAGAAAATGTCTTATAGACAGTCAGTATTGCCTATTGAGTATTGGGGTCTCATATGAAAGTTTTCAAGCTGATATTTCATTTCATGATTTTATTTCAGGTATTATTTCTATTTACAAAAGATAGATTTTAAGGTTGTTGAGGGAGTTTACGATCTACGACGTGGCCGGCTCGACGACGCGCTTTCAAAACAAAGAAATTTGTCATGCAAGACAAAAACTGTGAATAATTCGTGGTCCCAGGGGTATTATTTTTAACGGGCGTTGTCATGCTCAGCACAACATTAAACTGAAGCCTAGTGCACTTAGCACGCACACATGTCATTCGTGACAATTGTGGTCTGATTACAAAAGCGAGCAATTCGACGAAACGATGGATTTTGAGAAGACATGTTCAAGGGGCGTTTAACAATCTCGTGAGAGAAATAAATGCTGAAGATCCTGAGAAATTCAGGCAATTTCTCGGCTTGATCGGGAATCGTTTGAACAAATCTTGGGGATGGTATCTTCTTTTATATCGAAAAAGGAAACGCATTTGCGACCTGCGATTAAACCTAGCGTCTTTCTGTTTAATATTATAAAACAATACCGTTTGAGCCATTAGTAGAGGTTTAATTTATGTTGTTCTGTTCACAAAATGATTTGTTAATACTTTTTGCATGCAAACATTCGGAAAAAATTGATATTGGAATTATTTTTTACCAATTCACATATTCCTTGTTTGAAATCTACATGTGAATCATTTATTATTTCACTGTGTCTTCATGCTGCTGGCCACGCGATGAAACAAATATAGACTCCCTTTCATTTAAAACTTTACACAAGTTCTGGTCGGCATAACAAGAGATTGCTCCATTGAGGATCGAGGGCCGTGGTGAAAACTTGTCTATATAGATGGTATACTACTGCATGGTTGACTATTCGTGCCGAAGAAATGATGGTCTGGCGACTTAAGGATTGCTGACGGTCTAGGAATAATGTTTGGTCTAGATATTGGCTGAAAGGTCTGTTGTTGTGGTTGTATAACTGGCGAAGGTGGAAGCGTTCTAGCTGATACTGTGCTTGCTCCTAAGTTCTCCAGTTTGAGCTTGGAACAAAATATTAGTGATTTCATGTTGGGCAAAAATTCTAGTGGCTGGGTCAAGTTCAGATAACGCATGGACCACATAACGACCAAAAGCATCAGCTGAACTGGACATGCAGCATTGACATTCTCTAACAAGGTGCTTGATGTTTCCAAGTCGTTTTGACCGCAGCTATTGTCTACCTCGAAGAGTTCTTCGTCTATTTCATCCATTTTAGTAGAACAAGATTGTGCATAAAAAATGTCCTTAAAAAGAAGAAAGCTGAATTTAATGTTTCGAAATTCTTTTCCCTGCTGTGATGGAGCACTATAAAACTATCCCTGCTGTATTGGAGCCATCGATGGAAAGCACATCGCGATACAGCAGCCTAGTGGAAGTGGATCAGAATTTTTTAACTACAAACACTTCTTTAGCATTCTGTTCTTGGCTTTGACTGATGCCAATAATAAATTTATTTACATAAATGTTGGTGCATCAGGACGAGCAGGAGATGCTGGTGTATACAATAATTCTACCTTGATGAAAGCTGTGCTGAAAACCAGCTCAATTTGCCACCACCAGCTTCTATTCAAGGAAGAATTGTTTCTTCATCATAGATTACCACATTGTTGGTGACGATGCTTCCCAATGAGCAAACATCTCATGAAGCCATATCCACACCGACATTTAGATAAAGAGAAACGCGTATTCAACTATCGTCTTTCACGTGCCAGGCGTGCGCAGACTAGGATTATGTGGCGTGCTAAGTGCACCAGTGTGCGCTACTCTTAAGCATTATCACGTCTTTCAAGAAACGCGCTGAAAGCTTATAATGCGACCCAAGAGGTGTTACATAAAGTCGAAATTACAGTGAACATTGCATCGCTTTAGCCACAGTTAAGCCGAACGTACGTCGTTGAGCCGGCCACGTCGTAGATCGTAAACTCTCTATTTATAGCACAAACGTCGGACAAACAAACCGAAATTGACTTTCAAATTAATGCAAATGAACTATATTCTCATATTGTTAAGCCCGCAAGAATTGTGAGAATATTCGGACAAATTATATAATATATTTCTAGTAGTAGTAATATAAAAAGTGATATTTTATGACGTTTCCAGGTTCAATAAAATGAGCATTCATATATTATTGGCGTGTTGGACTGTGTTTCAGAATGCTGATACTACATGTGATCAACGTAAGTTGAGACTTGAACCATGTCTTTCATAATATAGTTCTGTTTAATTTCGCCCGCTCACATGCAGTTAGCCATAATAATAGCGTGTCGAAACATGTTTCCTCGAATTGTAGTTCTCGACACAATCATGTGCACTGTTTTTTGGTAATATGATTTTATTAAAATATCAAAAATTAAAATGATAGACAAAAAATCTCAAATCACGATACACGGGAAATTAAAGAAATATATTAATTAGTGGTTGAGATAAGTCGGCAAAATTTCACTTGCGCCCCTCCATTAAAACAAGGCTATAGCGACGCCCGTAACTATATATTATCGCTGATAAGCCTATAAAGCTTTCAGCAGAATATTATATAAATGAATGCAAACATAAACGGTTTGCTATACTTTTCGAAATGAGGATAGTTTCAATCCAGGATTCCGTTTTATTATATACCATATTATACATGTATTGTTTTTATTAACATGTGCGCGCACCTATAGCTATTTAACAATAATGTTAATTCTTGTCATTATATATAAGTTATAATCGTTTAACTGTACTGTTCTCGTAAACTCTAACGCCCTCGATAGCTCTGGTACGTGTAAACACTATGGTGTAAAGGGTCGTAACAATGTTCACAACAAGTTTTGTATGTTATATTATATTATTGTTCGATTGTCTACAAAAGAAATGATTACATACATAAATAAACAACACATAAAAAGATAAACTAGAACTATAAACAAATATCAAAGTCTATAAATTACCCTTTCTATACGTTTGTCTTTTGGAAATATACGTGCAAATACGTTCGTTCTACGTTTCATCTAGCCCGCGTGCAGGCCCAAGGGAACTGATAGTGGGCCTGCAAGCAAGGCCCGGTATTTTGTAAAACGCCCCTTTTCATAACACGCCCCATTCGCGCGTCAATTGTCAAAAAAGAACCAATGACAGCACCCAAATATTAACAAACAAACTCGCATTAAAATGTTGCGGGGTTTTCTCTGCTTATTCAGAACATAAACAATGTGTAAATGGCTGCGTTTTAACTCCAAAAAAGCAAGCAACGCAGTCAGTAATTGCCAAATTTGCAAGTGCTCATTTTCAACTAAAATCGGAACAGGCAAATTAGGACGAATTTCAACAGAAAACCAGTCTCAAACTTCAAATCGTGAGGGAAGTCGTGCGACCACATTAGCATTTATAATGTGTGCTTCGCTGTCGCCATTGTTATAAATAAATTGTCTCACTTATCAGATCGTGTGTGCAATTCTTGTTGGCGGCGGAAAGTACGAAATTTATTTCAGTTATTTCATTTGGTAAAGAACTCTACAAAAGAAGAGAGCGTTCAGAGTCCAGATCGTTTCGTTTCAAACGGCAATTTAATACCGTCTTCTCTTTCGCTCTCTCAGCGAAGCCTTGTAAATCGCAAAGTGTTTCGAATAGGCTTACATGCAACTGCATCTCAACATCAACCAAAAGATAATTTTCTTGAGGAACATATAACGTATCAAGTCTGTTTGAAATTAATGAAACTCAAGTAAAGGTTACTATAGTTTACCCCAGTCGTAATGTTGCTATTCCAACACCTCACGACAAGCAATCCCCATTGGCATAACGGCAAAAACATCTCTTCCTTCAAGTAAACAATAAACAGTCTGTTCTTGTTCCATTTGTAATCGAAAAAAGTGATCAATTTTCGAATTTTAAGCTTATCGAGAGAATATCGAGAGCCTTTGTGATGAATCACTGACCTAATTATAGAATCCAACAGCAAACAGCCAATCAGAATGCCGCGTTCGTGGGCGAACGCGGAAAGTACAAAATACCGGGCTTGCTTGCAGGCCCACTATCAATTCCCTTGAGCCTGCTCCCTTGGGCCTGCACGCGGGCTACATTTCATCAAAATTCAAAACTTCTGACTGTCACTGCGGTCAGCGGTTACTTAAGCTTAATCTCAAACTAGTCAGACATTATTGGGTGGTTGAGTTTCCAGAGTTGTCACCTTCGTCTTCCTCCAGGAGACCGTCCTTCTCCAAATTTCTCACTTCGTCTGTCCATTTGTTTCTTTTCGTTAATAATGGTACTCTTTAAGCCATCGATTCCAAAACATATTTGCGAGGACTTGTGCTTGCTATTCAAAGCAAAACAGTAGATTGTCTTGCGAATAAAAGTTATTATTTTGTCTTTCGCTTCACCTTGTCAACATAATAATAGTGTTGCTTCAAACTTTATGATAAAACCCGATTTTCTAGACGTGTATTTTCATAAGCTCGGTTAGTTCTTGACGTAGGGCAACGGCCTTAAAATTGGCTTGTTCCTCACGCGTCCTTACTAATATTTATTCGTTGAACGTTTTCGTATTACAGATAAGAAACGGTAGAAAACGTACCGAACTATTACAACAACAACTAATCTACCGTTCTACTCTGACTTATAAATGTGAGAAAATTAATATTTAAATTGTTCAAGGTTCATTAATTATTAGCTAATGATCGAGTCATTGCCACAACATCTGGCTCCCCTAAGAGGGTTCGATGACACTCTTAAACATATGCACACAAATAAAGTCTTGAGAATTAATAAACACAACACTGTTAATGTTTCTAGTAACATATAATGTTAGTTCATTTCTTCTATAATGGCTCCTCGATGGGGATTTCCCCAGTCTTACGAGTTTCCCAGTAACTAGTTTCACAATTGGACGTTCGAGGGTTGACGTAGCAGTCTTCACTTTTACGGAGCGAACAGCACCCACTGAGTCTGGAGTAATGTCAATAACACGAGCAAGTGGCCACAAGTTTCTTGATGTTTTCTCGTCGACTACTAGGACTATATCTCCGATTTCAAAACTGCGCTGGGGACGGTTCCATTTCTTTCTCATCTGAAGTGTATTCAGGTATTCCCTTTTCCATCGAGTCCAGAAGATTTCAACCAGATACTGGACTCGCTTCCATCGCTTACGAAGGTAGAGGTCGGCGCGCTGGAAGTCTCCAGGAGGTGGCATAACTATCTTTGATTTCATCGTCAAAATGTTACTTGGTGAAATTGGACTCTGTAAATCGGTAGGATCGCTGGAAGGGAATGTCAGTGGTCTACTGTTGACAATACACTCGGCTTCTGTTAACAATGTTCGGAAAGATTCATCATTAAGAACATGACCAAATTCTTTCATTAACGATGTAAGGATTGTACGCACTGTACGAATCTGGCGTTCCCATACACCACCCATGTGTGATGCTGCTGGGGGGTTTGGTTTCCATCTGACCAGCCAATCAGCGTCGGAATGACGGCACAGATACTCGTTTATCTTCGCGTCGTCCATTTCTTTGAGAGCGTCTTTAAGCTCTTTCGCAGCTCCTATTAGGTTGGTACCTCGGTCTGATCTTATTTCTCTCACTGGACCACGTCGAGCTATAAAACGTCTGAGTGCATTCAGGAACGAGTCGGTTTCCAAGGAGTTGGCTGATTCTAGGTGAATTGCTCTACTGTTTAAGCATGTGAATAGCACACCATAGCGTTTTAATTCTTTCCGACCATCCTTGATAAGACAGGGTCCAAAAAGATCAACTCCACAGTATGTAAATGGTGCTGCGGAAGTAAGTCTGTCCTTGGGCAAATCAGCCATCTTCTGTTTGGCGGTTCTGGCACGAAATTTTCTGCAATCTACGCATCTTGATATGTAATTTCTGACTCTGGAATTGGCGTTTATGATCCAATATCTGCCTCTTAAATGGTTGAGAGTAATTCCTCTTCCGCCGTGGGCAGCGTTCTCATGGTTGTGGCGAATAATCAGCTCTGTAACGTGACCATTTTTCGGCAATATGACGGGATGCTTCATTTCTGTCGTTATCTCGTCACACCTACGTAATCTTCCTCCAACACGCAGTAGACCATCGGAGCCAAGGAAAGGATCCAGGCGATACAATGAGCTTGACTTTCTGAGTTTGGTCGTTTTTTGCTTAGTAAGACTTCTATTGTCGACTCTTTTCAGCGCACTAACTTCGTCAGGAAAGGATTCTGCTTGGATAATCTTCAGAATTGTAACTTCTGCCTTTTCCAATTCTTCGACCATGATAGGTTTGGGGGTCATATCTTGCGTGGAACTATCACCAAGATTCCGTCGGTTGCGATCTCGTCTTGGCTTCATGCGTAACAACCATGCTATAGCTTTCTTTAGTCGATACCATTGAGAGAAACGAGAGAAGTATTCCAGAATCTCATTGTGTTGACCAGATACGATGGTATTAGCAGATATTACGGCGACTTCTGGATCGTCAAGTGTATTAACGCTTACATCAACAGGTCGTTTAGGCCATTCATCCGTTGCTTTCCACAGGAATGATGGTCCGTTAATCCACCGCTTGTTCTCAAGGAAGCGTGACATCTTTAAACCACGAGACGCATCATCAGCAGGATTCAAGGCTGAGTCAACGTAATGCCATTCATGAGTTGCAGTTGTGTCTCTAATCGTTTGGACTCGGTTTGCCACGAATGTCTTGTACCTGGCTTTGTCATTGGTAAGGTACTTCAGGACTGTGGTACTATCGGTCCAGTAGAATCGATCGTCTGGTGAAACATCAAGCTCTTTTACAAGCATATTCGATACACGTACTGATAATACAGCAGCGGTCAATTCGAGGCGGGGAATAGTCATTTGCTTGACTGGTGAACAACGAGCTTTGCCAATAAGGAAAGCACAATGAATCTGTCCAAGGTCATTTTCTTGTCTTAAGTACGACACCTGCCCGTATCCTGCAGAACTCGCGTCAGAGAAGCTGTGTATCTGCTGAGAAACTACTGTCCCAAATGTATCTGGTTTATAACATCGATTCAGATCAAATTCTTCCAACAGGGGTAAACTTCTTTTCCATTCTTCCCAACGATAACGATACGTTTCTGATATCTCATCGTCCCAATCCGCTTTCTCTCGACAAAGATCTTGAAGAATCATCTTGCCCGGAAGTAACACTGGAGCTGCTATCCCTAAAGGATCATAGATAGAGCCAATGGTAGAAAGAATACCTCTTCTAGTTAGTGGTTTGTCCTTGATGGTAATACGAAAACCAAATTTATCTGATTCAACATGCCAGTGAACGCCGAGTGCTCTTTCTATGGGTAGATCGTGATGGTTAAGATCCAAACTTCGAAGTTCTTTTGTTCGTTCTTCAGCAGGGATGGTTTCCAATACTGTTCGGTCGTTTGATGTAAGTTTTGTTAGGTGGAAACCTCCATTGGCACACGCATCTATAACACTGTGCATTCGTTTGATAGCAACGTCCACCGTCTTGTCTGATCGGAGGCAATCATCTACATAGAAGTTTCGTCGGAGCACGTCAGCGGATTCCGTTCCAATCTTGTACTCATAATCATCAGCAGCTCTACGGAGGCCAAAATTCGAGCAGCTTGGAGACGATACTGCGCCAAATATATGAACGTTCATTTCATACTCAGCAAGATCTTGCGATATGTTACCATCAGGCCACCACAGAAAGCGGACAAAATTGCGTTGATGCTCAGGTATTCGCACTTGATAGAACATCGATTCTATATCTCCCATAAATGCCACTGGTTCTTGACGAAACCGTACCAACACTCCTATCAACGAATTAGTCAGATCTGGTCCTTGAAGCAGTCTATCGTTTAAAGCTGTTCCTTCGAATCGGGCGCTGCAATCGAATACGACGCGGACCTTATCGGGCTTTTTTGGGTGATATACTGCGTGGTGCGGCAAGTACCATACTTTGCCTTTCTTCGGGGCTGTAGCGTTTAGTGGAACTTTCCTTGCATATCCTTTGACAAGCATATCATTCACGAACTCTGTGTATTGCTTGCGTAGACGATTATCTTTAAGGAATTTCTTCTTTATCCAATGCGCTCTTCGTTCTGCTTGAGCTCGGTTGTCGGGCATAACGACTTCGTCTTCTCTGAAAGGAAGTGGTATTTCATAGTGTCCTTCGATTTTCTTGGTTCCTTGTTCAACTTTCTTAAGAAATAACTTGTCTTCTTGAGAGAGACCATGTTCATTACTGACTTTTCTTTCGCTGAAATCAAGTTCCATCATTCTGTTAAATGCTTCTGGTGTAAGGATCTCTTTCACCACCTGATCAACAGCGAAATGATGATCCATTGGTACTTCTGAACTAATTTCTTTTGCAACAATCCGATTACAATTGACCGTCGCAGGACCATTGCTTGACATATGAAGAGGTCCAATGATAGTCCAGCCAGCGAACGTTTGAACAGCATATGGACCGCCGTTCATACTTGTCACGAAATCTTTAGGTTCAATGGCTTCAGGGCAATTTGTTCCAATTAAGAGGCCAATCTTGACATTCGGTATTAATGGATGGACGTAATCAGCTACACGCGCCAGATGTGGCCATTTTCTCGCTTGCTCTGGTCTGGGAATATCTTGACTGGTTGCGGGCATTTCGAGCTTGGTAAAAGCTTTAGGTAGAGAAATGGAATTGTTGCCGTCCAAGTCAGATACAGTCAAGTCTCTTATTACTTTCACGTTGTGTAGTTGGCTACCATTCATAGTTGTTATTGAAATTTGTGAATCTACTCCGTCTACGTTAAGCTCTTGACGCAGATCTTCTAGAATGAACGTACCGGTGCTGCAGTTATCAAGCATCGCATATGTTATCAACTCTGTTTCAGCTGATCGTACAATAATTGGTACTATCGGCATAGATCCGACAGGTCCTTCTTCTCGTACTTTTCTGGCGATACTATTTGCAGTAATGGTTGTGAAGGCTGATTCCACATTCTTCGCAACATTATCATTCGCAGGCTTTTTCACAATAGGCTGAAAGTTTTCAACATGTAGGCCAGTAGGATGACGGCGTGAACAAGTCTTACATGTTCTCTTTTGCGAACAACCTCTAGATCTATGACCAGGCATGTAACACGAGTAACATAACTGTTTCTCGGCAAGGAATTTTCGTCTTTCACCGATGCTCTTCTTTAAATATTCATCACAATCGTCCAAGTCATGTTCCTTTTTACAGTGGATACAAGATTCCACTTTACTTGCGTTAGTTCTTACTTTATAATTTGGGGGCTTGCGTTTGTTGTTTACTCCGTCAGAACTTTGAACTCTCAGAGCTTCTCGAGAAAAGATTGGATCTGTTGCCACTTTAGCTTCGTCTTTAATGAAATTAGCAAACGAGTCGAAGCTTGGCATATTCCTATGTCCGACTCTCGCTTTACTTGCGACACGTCTCCATCGATCTTGAAGGTGGAATGGTAACTTCTTGACCAAGGTTTGCAAGTTGTGAGGATGATCCAATATAGTTAAATACGACAACGATTTCATAGCACTGCAACACTGCGTTAGGAAGGTAGAAAATCGGTTTAAACCATCATCATCACCGGGTTTAAGCATTGGCCATTCAGTCATCTTCTTAATAAATGCATTAGAAATGTTGTACGGATCACCATATTTCTCGTCAATCAGCCTTCTCGCCTCTGCATAACCAATGTCAGGATCCATGTAATGACATCCTTTGACCAATTCTTTAGCTTCGCCTTCGAGGTACTGATCTAGATATCGTAAACGATCTGAGTTAGAGTTCAGCTTATTATGGAACTGCGAGTTAAAACCTTGAATGAAAATATTGTACTCTGTGGGGTCTCCAGAGAACTTAGACAATGCAAGACGTGGAATAAGACTTCGTTGATTTTGTTGCATGATCATCTCGGTAAGGTTGCACTGCTTCTCGATCAACACGCCAAACTGGTCTTCATTGGTTCTTGGAATCGACACTTGACTAGCTTGTTCCCATGCTTCCGGTTGCGCACGGTTAGCAGTTGTCGGTAAAGGTACCGGTATTCTTGATTCAAAGGATGGTTGATAGACAACGGATGGTTCGTTGCTGATCCTTGCTTGCGTAGGAATGGTTTGATCCCAGGGTGTACTAGTGACTCTTGGCGACAGACGAGGACCAGGGTTGGTATGACGCAAACCAGGGTAGGATGAGGTAATAGTAGGTGATGCTGAATCGGTTTGTGAAAACGACGGTGGTGAGTATGTTGGAAGACTCTGCCGATGCTCATTGACAAAAGTCACGGATCTTTTGCTTGCAGCATTTGTTGCAGGAATGTTTGGAGTGAATATAGGTGCACGAACATTCGGAGTGAACCTTGACGCCTGTGTCTTCGCAGGAAACACTGTTCCTGAGATATTTGAGACAAATGGTGTGGAAGGAATGTTCGAAATGAATGACGTAAAAGGAACATTCGGGGCGAATGACGTAGAAGGAATATTCGGGGTAAATGACGTAGAAGGAATATTCGGGACGAACGACGTAGAAGAATATTCGGGGCGAATGACGTAGAGGAATATCGGGGCGAATGACGTAGAAGGAATATTCGGGGCGAATGACGTAGAAGGAATACTCGGGGCGAATGACGTAGAAGGAATACTCGGGGCGAATGACGTAGAAGGAATATCGCTAACTTTACCATACAGCAGCTCTTTAAATAAAGAATTGCCTTCGTCTTTGAGGCGAGCCGCCCGGTGCAGATATTACTGACGGGTTTAACATGTTACTAGAACGCCTTTAATATATTTTAGGTGTGACATCCAAGCATTCAGTAACATACGTGGCAATCATTGTAAGCATTACTATTGCGATGCTTGTTATGTCGCTTGTATTTGCCTTTGTTCTTTACAAAAGAAAGAAACTCTATGGAAAGTTTTACATTTTCACCAATCCGCCATTACTTGATTATATTGAAAGGATCGACGGGAAGCGACTGCTAGTAGAACAAACTAACAAATTACCATATTTGTCTGAATGGGAGTTTCCCAGAGAACGTGTTTTTATTGGTAAGTTTCCATGCACTCCTCACATAAGAAAAAATAATTCAACATGTGATATTATTATTAATTTTCAAATATAAACCTTAATTTTCGAACTCAAATTTCATATGTGAAAATTCTAAATTTCACATATGAAATGCATGGCTATATATTTTCACATGTGAAATGTTCCACTGGCCACTATAGATTTCACCGCGTGTCATGATTCCGCATATGATTTCACATGTGAAATGACATGTGATTTTCCGTAATGGTAGGAATGATTAACAATACAATACATGATTCTGAGCCTATATAATATATATATATATATATATTCATATATATATTTATATATATACTGCAGTATAACCATTTTATAAAATATATCGAGAAAGAACCACAATTTTCGTTTTTATTAATTTTAAAGAAAACTGGAACGAAGGTGATTTGGATGACTTACTCAGCGAACTTAAAATCCTCATCCATGTTGGACAACATAAAAACGTCGTTAATATTCTTGCTGCTTGTACGAAAGGTATATACCGCTTGAATTATATGCACCCAATGCATGTAACAGACTTGATGGTGATATATTAGAGAGCTTAATTAGCAAGCGACGTTTTTGACAACGCGCGGACACCAGGCTTACATAATTTAGCGGTTAATTCTTGCCTGAAAGCAAATACGGCAACAATTTAGTGTTACGCCTGGTTTAACGCGTTCGTTATTTCAAATAAGAGTGACTTTCGCCATGAATAACGTCTCGATTGACTTCCGGAGTTTGTTCACGGTGGCTCGATACACTTTTCAAATAATTCATGTGTACAACAGTTTGATATTTTTAAACTTCGTATTTTTGAGTTTTATGCAGCAGATATTGGGATGCTCAAATATTTTAATGTTTTTTTCTTTCAAATTATGCTAGTTTTGGTAACACATATATAGTTCGTTGCTATGGCAACATATGCGCACAAAATTAAGCCTCTAGGGCTTGATTTCGAGCATTTTTAGACACAATTTGTCATGGGAGCACTAAAACACCGCTGTTCTTAACTAAGTTATTCTTGCCATTATATTTTAGTCATTTAGACAGAAGCGACCTTGGACATGATTGGAGGTGTCAATTGCAGGGGCCAAAATAGGGGCTGGATCGGGAAAACTTGCTCTTTTCCCCCTATTTAGTCGATATAGTGTTAAAAAGGCCCTGAATGAAACTGGACGAATTCAAACAGAGTGAAAACTTAATGCATGCAGGCAAATTTGCCGTGAGTAGTGTATGCAATTACGCTAAATTTGTTCGGCCTCGTGTTCAGTCCATTGAACTAAAAATAACGTTATTATTCAAAGTTATTTTTATTTCGGCCTCGTGTTCAGTCTAATGGGTAATAATGTGCATATTGTAGGCTTATTTTGAAGATCGTCAGTATATGTGTGTTAAAGTGCAATGCAGGCAATACAGGGTTTATTCAAAACTGTGAAATGTCCAGTGAAAACCGAGGGATGTTGTTGTCAGACCATATTCCTTTATCTTCCGGAGGTTTTCTCTAGTGGCCACGATTAAGTTTGTTTGCAGAACATTGGCTACAGTTAACTGAAGATCATGATAGTAAGCTGAGTATCACTGATCTCGTGGAGACTGCTTCACAAATCGCAAGTGGCATGGAGTTCTTGGCTTCTAGGAAGGTATTTTACATAATTACATTCGATGGGCTCACGCGCCGACGCGCTTTTTTGTACTTTTGTTTATATATTTTATTTCAAAGTTCAAACAATATAGGTCAAATGTACGCTACCGGCAAGCTCGCTGAATACAATCGCAAAAAGGGGGTTTTATATTACTAAATTATAAGAAATGTCAACCGGCTGCCGGCTATCTATCATTACGCGGTTAAAATTGAGCTGCAAAACTGAACATTTATATTAGCTATATGTCGAAGGCAAAATTTTAAGAAGCAGCTCCAGCCAGTTTTGACATAAGATTTGTCCATATTTCTAGCAATCTCGGCGGTTCAGTGAAGTAAATGACGATATGCTTTAAAAGCAAAGACCAAAAGGAACGAGATTAAAAAGTTATCAGGAATGATCCCAGAGACGCCAACCGAGGATATTCGCGCCCAACTTCGTGTCGATGGACTTGATGGAAAGTCAAATAAGGATCGTATTGCCGACCTTATAAACACTGCCCTTCGAGAACCGATGCAGGAATATCAATCACTTGACAGCCTTCCTCCTGTTGATAACGATTCGGAAGTTCTAACACTTGATGAGTCTTCAGTTTACTCAGCATTAGTAAGGCTAAACCCTCGAAAAGCCTCTGGTCCAGACGGCGTACCGAACTGGCTCCTTAAAGATTATGCAGAGTTTCTCGCGAACCCAGTCTGTGTTATCCTGAACAGCTCATTTGCTGAACAATTCCTCCCTCTGTCATGGAAGTATGCCAATGTAACACCACTACCAAAGACGAAATCTGTGACTGTAATTACCGCCCTGACGTTCTTGAGATCATTGATCCCAACCAATATGGCGCTATCCCAAAATCATCTACTATACATATGCCTTTATTTCCATAATTCATATATTATATGGGCTTCTGCCACTGACGGGACAAGTGCAGAGGTAAGGATGGTGTTGCTAGACTACAGGAAACAGGAAAGCATTTGATCTCATCGATCACCGGATCCTAGTTAAAAAGATCCTTTCCCTGAATGTTTCACGCGGTACAGTTCGCTGGGTATGCGACTTTTTATCGAATAGGCTGCAACGCGTCAAACTGTCCAACGATTGCTTCTCTGAATGGGGTGCAGTTCCATCTGGAGTTCCACAGGATACGAAATTAGGACCATGGTTATTTCTTCTGATGATCAATGACCTTAAACCATCCGAAGGGCACTCGTGGAAGTACGCGTAGACGACACGACATTATCCGAGGTTGTCCCAAGAAATAGCCAAAGCCAAATGCAGAGTGCAGTGTCTGATGTAGAGAAATGGAGTAAAAACAACAAGCTCCAGTTGAACGAAGACAAGTGTAAGGAAATGATAGTTGACTTTAAGAAAGTGAAACATCAGCTTAAGACCATCATCATCAATTCCAAAGAACTCGAGCTAGTCAGCAGTGCCAAGATATTGGGTGTCATATGGTGTCTATGGATTGACCATGTCGAAGAAAGCTAACAAACGTTTGTATTTCCTAATTTTGCTTAGGCGTGCAAGCATTCCTGCTGACCATATCCTAAAATTTTATTGTACTTGCATCAGACCAGTTCTCGAGTATTGTGCACCTGTATTCCACCACTCATTACCTGCATATTTATGTAACGATCTTGAACGCATTCAAAAGCGAGCGCTTTCAATTAGATCTCCTGGGTCATCTTATACGAACAATCTTAACACGCATTATACGCATAATATTAGTTCTCTCAAAGTTCATAATATAGATAATGGTTTTTTGAACGGGGTTTTGTTTCTGGATTTTAAAAAGGCGTTTGACTCAGTCAATCATAACATACTACTTTCCAAATTAGAGCTTTATGGTAACAGAGGAACTAGTCTGAAATGGTTTAGATCTTATTTTAGTAACAGGAAACAGATTTGCTCTATTAATGGTAAGCAATCAGATGTAAACGAACTTAAGTGTGGAGTGCCACAGGGATCCAACCTTGGGCCGTTTTTGTTTCTCTTATATATTAACGACTTGCCCAGATGTCTCCAAACTACTAAGGCTAGATTATTTGCAGACGATACAACTCTTTCCATCAGTGCTCCAACCGTAGATGAAATTGAATCAAAACTTAACCATGATCTTTTGAATGTTAATGAATGGCTCATTGCAAATAAACTTACACTAAACGAAACGAAAACTGAATTTATGATAATAGGTTCACGCCAGCGAGTCCCGCCATTTGAGCAGGGCCCCATAATTAAACTTGGTAATCAAGTTATTAAGCGTGTACCCAATAAAAAGACGCTTGGCGTAATTTTAAATGAACATCTAACTTGGAACAAGCATATCGACGAACAAAATAAAAAGATTTCAAACAATATTGCTTTATTAAGGAGAGCTAAATCGTTTGTGCCTGAACATATCCTTAATAAAATGTATAATGCATTTGTAATTCCGAAGTTCTATTACTGTTCCACTGTTTGGAACGATGGCTACAAAAGTAAACTTACAAAGCTATCTAAACTTCAAAAGAAAGCGGCACGTGTGATAACCGGCGCTTCATACGATGTACGGTCCAATGAAATATTTCGAAAACTTGATTGGATGCCAATCCATAAAAGCTTATCTATTCGAGAAAATATTGTTACTTTTAATTAAAGCACTTACTGCTAATTCTCCGAATTATCTCACAGAAATGTTTAATTTCTGTTCAAACGAAACGTGCAACTTGAGAAGTAACTTTGCCAACTTTCCCTTGAGAAACCTAACACAAATTTTCTCAAAAAAAGTTTCTCATATAGAGCGGCAAAATCTTGGAACAATCTCCCGGATAACATTAGACAAAACGTCGCACCAGAAATCACTTAAAGGCCCAGTTCAGGCTTTCGAATGATGGTTTTTAAGGCGCGTTACAGCCCTTTTAATTGAAAAAACTAACAAGGAAAATCAATTGAGCATAATTCAAGATCAGTGATTTCAATGTTTTTAACATTTTCAATGTTAAAATTT